GGAAGGTGGGTGGGGGCATATCCTCATAGAAGCAGGAAGAGGGGGGATGGGGTAGGGGGTTCCTGGATGGGGAAAAATGGGGAAAGGGGATTACATATAAAATGTAAATAAAATATCCAATAAAAAAAAGAAAGAAATATGTCCTGGCCAACTCCTTCCCTCTTCATTATTGACCAATGGACAGAGATGGAACCCAGGTACAGGAGGGACCAAATCTGCCCTTGCCACAGCACAGGCCGCTTGGCTGCTCAGTGCTCATAGTCTTTCGTTGAGGGTTTCTGAAACATCTACTTTGTACTCGTCTTCTCCAGGTGAGTCTGTAATAAAGTGTCCTTCGAGGAACTTCCATGCTAGGAGGTAGAGAGTTCATAAGTATCTGTGAGAATGAAGTGTTAATGTGTAAGACAAAGAAGAGGCATAGAGCAATCAGAAGATGGGAAGTGCCCAGGGAGCTGAGTGATCCAGGGGAGTTATCTTACAAATTGAGTTTTAGTAATGTTTCCTACAAAATGAATATGACATGGAAGACCACTCTGCTCCTCCCTGGGCACCTTGGACCTCATCACAGAGCCTAGAGCTGTGTGGAACACAGGTGGAAAACAGCTCATAGGAGCCCGTGGCTCATACTGCCTTCAACATTTTGGTGGCTGGAAGTGTTCAGATTTTGAGAGTAGGTTTAGTTTCTGGAAACACGCTGCTATCTCTTGGAGTAGGTCTGATTTCTAACATGAGTAAACAATCTGGAATTTGCATTTAGAACCCCAAAAACCAAGTGAGAAAATTGAATACGATTATTTTTTGTCATAAGAATGAGACTTGTAAAGGGTAATAACTGTGAGGGTCAAGTGCCAATTGGTCAAAAGCAACCTCAGCTTTGGAATAAAGTGACCCCAGAACTTCCACCAAAGAACTCCTAAACCTGATAAACAGCTTCAGCAAAGTGGCAGGATATAGAATTAACTCAAATCAGTAGCCTTCCTCTACTCAAAGGATAAACAAGCTAAGAGAGAAATTAGGGAGATGACACCCTTCACAACAGTCGCAAATAATATAAAATACCTTGGTGTGAATCTAACCAAGCAAGTGAAAGACCTGTATGACAAGAACTTCAAGTCCCTGAAGAAAGAAATCAAAGATGATCTCAAAAGATGGAAAGATCTCCCATGCTCATGGATTGGCAGGATTAATATAATAAAAATGGCCATCTTGCCAAAAGCAATCTACAGATTCAATACGATTCCCATTAAAATCCCAACTCAATTGGTCACAGAGTTAGAAAAGGAAATTCTCAAATTCATTTGGAATAACAAAAAACCCAGGATAGCGAAAACTATTCTCAACAATAAAAGAACTTCTGGAGGAATCACCATCCCTGACCTCAAGCTGTACTACAGAGCAATAGTGATAAAAACTACATGGTATTGGTACAGAGACAGGCAGGAAGATCAATGGAATAGAATTGAAGACCCAGAAATGAACCCACACACCTATGGTCACTTGATCTTTGACAAAGGAGCTAAAACTGTCCAGTGGGAAAAGGACAGCATTTTCAACAAATGGTGCTGGTTCAACTGGAGGACAACATATAGAAGAATGCAAATTGATTCATTCTTATCTCCTTGTACAAAGCTCAAGTCTAAGTGAATAAAGGACCTCCACATAAAACCAGATACCCTGAAACTAATAGAAGAGAAGGTGGGGAAGAACCTCAAATACCTAGGCACAGGGGAAAAGTTCCTGAACAGAACACCAATGGCTTATGCTTTAAGATCAAGAATTGACAAATGGGACTTCATAAAATTGCAAAGTTTCTGTAAGACAAAGGACACTGTCAATAGGACAAAATGATAACCAACAAATTGGGAAACGATCTTTACCAATCCTACATCTGATAGAGGGCTAATATCCAATATATACAAAGAACTCAAAAAATTACACTCCAGACAACCAAATAACCCTATTAAAAATGGGGTATAGAGCTTGACAAAGAATTTTCACCTGAGGAAACTCGAATGGCCAAGAAGCATCTAAAGAGATGTTCAGTATTCTTAGTCATTAGGGAAATGCAAATCAAAACAACCCTGAGATTCTATCTCACACCAGTCAGAATGGCTAAGATTAAAAACTCAGGTGATAGTAGATGCTGGTGAGGGTGTGGAGAAAGAGGAACACTCCTCCATTGTTGGTGGGACTGCAAGATGGTGCAACCACTTTGGAAATCAGTCTGGCGGCTCCTCAGAAAAATTGGACATAGCATTACCTGAGGACCCAGCTATACCACTCCTAGGCATATACCCAGAAGATGCTCTAACATATAACAAGGACATATGCTCAACTATGTTCATAGCAGCCTTATTTATAATAGGTAGAAGCTGGAAAGAACACAGATGTCCTTCAACAGAGGAATGGATACAGAAAATGTGGTACATTTACACAATGGAGTATTACTCAGCTATTAAAACCAATGAATTCGAGAAATTCCTAGGTAAATAGATGGAACTAGAAAATATCATCCTGAGTGAGGTAAGCCAATCACAAAAGAACACACAAGGTATTCACTCACTGATTATTGGATATTATCCCAGAACCTTGAAATAGCCAAGATTCAACTCACAGGCCACATGAGGCTCATGAAGAAGGAAGACCAAGTGGGGGTGCTTCAGTCCTTCTTAGAAAGTGCAACAAAATACTCAAGGGAGCAAATATGGAGATAAAGTGAGAGACAGAAACTGAAGGAGGGGCCGTCTGAAGACCATTCCACCTGAGTATCCATCTCATGTGCAGTCACCAAAGGTAGATGCTGATGTGGAAGTCAGGAAGTGCAGCTGATAAGAGCCTGATATAGATGTCTCCTCAGAGGTCTTCAAGAGTCTGACATATTCAGAGGCAGATGCCCACAGCTAGCCATTGAACTGATCATGGGGTTCCCAATGGAGGAGTTAGTGTGAAGACTGTTGGAGCTGAAAAGGTTTGCGGCCCCATGAGGAGAGCAACAATACTAACCAACCAGAGCTCCCAGGGTCTAAACCACCAGCCTGGGAGCACTTAGGAAGGGATCCTGGCTTCAGCTGTATATGTAAGGGTGGAGGGCCCTGCTGGGCATAGGTGGGAGAAGAGATCCTTGGTCTCATCAAGGCTGGACGCCCCAGGGGGTGGGAATTTGAGGGTGGGGAGGTGGGATTGGGGGGTAGGTAGGGGTACATCCTCAGAGAAGCAGGAGGAGGGGTGAGGGGATAGGGGGTTCCAGGATGAGTGGGGGATGGGGTAAGGGGATAACATATGAAATGTAAATAAAACTTCCAATAAATAAATAAATAAATAAATAAATAAACAACTATCCAGATGAATCCTTGCAAAGAAGCACATGGCATGTTTGGGTCGGTGATTCCTGGTGTGTATAATTTTCTTTAATATTCAAATCCCAGGGAAGAAAGATCCTATAGTAGAAAGAAAAAAAAATTGGCTTTGTTCACAAAGAGTTGAGACTGAAGCCCTGGATAACTCAAGATGCTCACATGACCTCAGACAAGGGAAGTGACCTCTCTGAGTATGAATCCTCTCCTTGAGAGAGATGGGCACATCCAGAACTGGTGAGCGTAGGGAGACATTCATGTTCAGGGAAATGCAGAGCCAGAATTCCATAAACTGTTATTTTGTACCAGGCAGGAAGAAGGTCTAGAAAGTCAGGTGACGTTGAGTGCTGGGGAACATTGACTTTCTTGCAGATTGCTCACAGATACACATGAGAAGCTAGATTGGAAAGCAACAAGGCCCTCAATATACACCCTAGGAGTCAGGGCCCACTCCTACAGAGAGACATGAATGGCTGTTTGTACCCACTTCCCTTTAAGCCATGATAGCTAAAGACTCTTCTGCCTCCAACAAAGCAGTTAAACTACAGTAACACAAGTTGTTCATCAGATTCATTAGTGTAGGTCAAAGTTCACTGACAGTAAGCCACACTAAAAATGAGCTATTACAGGGGTCTGTGATGGTTTGGGTATGATTGCATCATCGTGTAAAGAGGAAGTGGGGTCTTTCTCTCTGTGTCTCTGTCTCTGTCTCTCTCTCTCTCCCCTGCTCTCTCTCTTCCTTTTTTTTCACTCTTCCCCTTTTACTCTCAGATGTGAAGGGAAGGTATATCCCATAAACTCTCTTTCTATGAAATACTCTAGTACGATCTAGAAGGACATTTGGGTCACTAGTCAAGTGCTTGTCCTCAATGGTATTTACATAGATACTCTTGTGTTAATCTCTATATGTATTATTTTCTTTACAAAATGACTAGTTTCTAACTAGCCCTAAAACATTCACAAATAAAATTCAAATGGGATGTCTTGAACTGAACCACTGGGAAGTCTTGACATAATATCCAAATGTTGCCGGGCGGTGGTGGCACACGTCCTTAATCCCAGCACTTGGGAGGCAGAGGCAGGCAGATTTCTGAGTTCAAGGCCAGCCTGGTCTACAGAGTGAGTTCCAGGACAGCCAGGGCTACACAGAGAAACCCAGTCTCAAAAAAACAAAACAAAAAACAAAAAATCTAAATGTCAGAATGTCATTCTGTCACAGCTCTTCCCAGTGATTTACCAGCAGCTCCTCACATACTCTAGATGCTTGGCTCCTTGTGGCCTTCTTCTTCACCCTATCAATGGCTTGTTTTTCTTTCCTGTGCCTCTCAGTTAGATGTTAAGCTTCCCCCAAGGGAAGGATTTATCTCCTTCATCTGTGCATCCACCTTTGAGCACACAACATACAGCTGGAGCTTAGGGAGGATTTCTTAGTAATAAGCCAGTTAAGTACAAAAGAATAATTTTCTGAAGAATGATCCTCCTGTTGTGACCTGTCACAAGCCACAGTTAGAAGTAAAATGGACAAGGTAGAGATTAGATCACAGTGACTGAGGAAATAGTGTTGAGAGGAAGATGAGAAACATCTTGGACTCTGAAGGTGAGGAGAATGTTGGTAGGAAGGCCTATGGACAAGCATTCTCTTCACAGCTTAGAGAATCTGAAGAGTGTGGAGAGAAAGGGCCCATAGAACCATGGACACAGCTCCAGAGCAGAGGAAAACTGAGCTGTAAAACAGCCAAGCATTGGAATAAAGAAAAAAAGAAGGTGAATGGACCCAGCTTCTGCAACGCACAGGACGCACAAGTGGATCTACTGATCCTTTCTGCAAGACCCACTTCCACAAAGGCAGAGTCTGTGGGCTCCAGCTCTTCTTCAGTAGGACTCTTCAGGTCAGGAAATCAAGTTTCACACAAAACTGTTCCCAAGATGCTGACTGATGTGGGCATGGCCTTCCGCTGTCTTTGGTATTCCAGCCAGAAAGAACTCAGTTGTCATCGGGTCCTTCAGTATCTGCCATAACGTGTGGATGATCCTCTTTGATTCCCATCCAGAAAGCGTGGGAGCCAAGTTCTGATACAGAATTCCTTACCACAAGATATAAGAGGCTGAGCAGTGATTAGATTCAGTTTGGTCCACGGAGCTGGGTTATATCATCCAGTGATTTATATCTTTATCTTTGACCATTATTAATAAGTTAGACTGTCACTTTCTGTGCTGAGTTCATGTGCTTTAGTGTCAAGGAAAATGTACAACCTCTGTTATACTTGGCAATGCCTATCACACCATAGATGGCCACCCCATGGGCAATACGTTGACCCCCTAGCACATTGTTCTTTACCATTCTCCATGCATTTACCAGGCTCCTATGGGCTCCTATGGGCTCCTATAGGCTCCTATAGACTTCAGTGCAGCTTCCCTAGCTCTATAGAGTTTCTTTTAAACTTCTGCTTTTTTATACAGAATCATACTAATACCCGGGCTGTATTTGAATGTACAGTGTTGCTCGAGCTGACCTTAAACTCACAGCATGCCTCAGCCTCCCAAGTGCTAGGATTCTGGATGCTTCGTACCATATCCAGTTACTCTATAGCTTTTCTTTCCTTAAGTTTTTAACATTTATAAAGAAAATATAGAGCATCACGCCAGAACTGAATTTAATTTTTAAAAATGATGGAATTAAGAAAAAGCAGAGAGAAAAGAAACAGAGAAACTGTTGGACCAAAGATTTGATTCATGCCTCTGTTAATTGTTAATTCCCAGTGGCCTCTTCTGCTTGTCCTTTAATGGGAGAGAAGATGATCTATGCTTTGACCTAGAATGAACTTGGGGTGATGGATGGCCTGGCCATTTGATAATTACATTCTGTGTGTGTAAAAGAAACTTCTCTTGCCTGCACTGAAAGCTAAGCTTGGTTGATTCCCAATTCCCACAAAGGCCAGAGGCAGCGCTCCGTGCGGCTTGAAATGCCAGTGTTTCTTCTGCTTTAAAGGATGCTGTGTTTGGTAAACTCTTTGTCCTGGAATTCACAGAGAAGGTCTCATACCTCGCACATTTGGAAGCAATTACCCAGCCTTGTGAGCTGCCTTTGTTTAGTGCCATGTGTTCTCCAACATCAAAGAACATTTTCCTTTGAAAACAAAATGCAAGTGGGCCAAAGAAAATATACCTTCTGTCCTACCTCGAATTCATAATCATCTACAATTTGTTTCCCTACATTCTTCCAACACCTTGTATGTGAAAGAATTGTAAAGAACCACATGTCAGTGTGTCCCAGCATTAGCATTTTGAAGCTGTACTGTCAGTAAGATGATACTGGGAACTATTAGGCTCAGATGAAGTTGGGCCCTCAGCATGGAGTTAGTGACCTCGTATGAGGAAGAGATTACAGCTCATGTTCTGGTCTGAATGTAGGGTGTGCACTGCAGGCTCATGGGTTTGAATACTTGCTCTCCAGCTGGTGGTTCTGTTTTGAGAGGTCACTGAGCTTTTACAGATGGGATGTTGCTGGAGGAAGTGGGTCACTAGAAGCAAGGGGACACCTTGAGGTTATAACCCAGACCCACTTCTGATGTTGCTTGACTAGAAGTGTGGGTAGGGTGAACAGTTTTACATTCATACCTACAGCTCCTCCCCGCCATGATGAACTGTATCCCCTCAAACCATGTGCCAACAGAGAGCCATAAAATGTTGGCCAGGTACCTATTTTTGTTGAAAAAACAAAAAGACCTCTAAATCACTATCTAGGCATTCATATTAATTATGATATGGTTTTAAATGCAAAGTTTGACTTTAAATGTAAAAATATCAATGACAGTCATTAACTTTCTTTAAATAACTTTAAAGGTAAAATCTCTAATTCTCTGCTTGCCTCCCTGCTTACTGAAAAAGACATAGCACTTGTGATGTGTTCAAGACCAACCAGGAAAAAATTTAATGAAGTTTTATTGTATTAGCATCTAATGGGACAGATTCCTCCTTCAAGGAGATAAAAGAAGAAAATAATGGGCTGGGCAGATGGCTGAGATTAAGAGAGTATACTGCTCTTGCAGAGGGCCTGAGTTTAGATCCCAGTTGGCCTCACAACCGCTTGTAACTCTAGCCTCAAGGACTCTGACACCCTCTTCTTGTCCCAGAGGACAATATATAGAACCCCTAGTTTCTTCTCTTTTTTTACGTTTATTTATTTAATGTAAGTACACTGTAGCTGTCTTCAGACACCCCATAAGAGGGCATCAGATCTCATTGCAGATGGTTGTGAGCCACCATGTGAAAAAGAAGAAGGTTCTTTGCTTTCGGGATGTTGCAGGTCACACTAACAGCTGCCCGTATGACACCATGAAGGAAATATATCTCCCCCTACCTAAGTTATTCCATTGAATAGTTTCCCCAAAGGGCAAACTCTTCTTTTCCCTCACCCTCGGCCCTCTGGCTGCAAAGCTTTAGTCTCCTGAAAGGACAGGAGGAGATGTGAGTGAAGATTCCTCTGAGTTCTCAGGATAACCAAGTCCACATCCATAGGACTAGATGCACATAGTAGGCAGTGACAGCAAGGGCTGGGCCAGGCTATCAAAACCCTGTGCTTGAGCAAAACCAGGAATATTGTCCTATTGACTCTTTGGGTTTCTTTTTCTTCCCCCCAGCTCAGAGAAATAGCACCACTCTACTGTCTTCTTGAAAATAGAATATAGGAGCATGTGGCTGTTTTGATTCCTTGAAATTTTCCAGGAAACCACTGTAAACTCTTGGAGTGTAGTACTGGACACTTCAGAGGTCTCTGCTGGGCTTGGGACAGCTGCTACTAAATTGCTTGCCATTGAATAATGGATACTTTGCTGGGGTGCCTGCAAATCTCACCATCAAGACATAATTTGTTTACAGGAAGTAGCTCTGAATCGATTTGAATGAGTTCTTAGAAAGAAAAAAGACCAAAACCGTCCTCAGGATCTCAGCTCGAGTCTTAGGAAGCAGAATTGCCATGTGCATGCTGCACACCACCGCAATCAGAGAAAAGTGCAGTTAAGAGCTACTGCCTTTTGCTGCTGGATATGAGATTGTAGTGTGTAGTGAGGGGTTTGATGAAATAAGTATAAAACTTGGCTAAGGGCTGTGATGGTAGCCCAGTCATGGGATGCTTACTGTGTAATCATGAGGAGTTGAGTTCAGATGCCCACCCAGCACCCACACAAAGAAGAAGAAAAAAGCCAAGTGTGGTGAGACACAGCTGGGATGATGGGAGTGGGAAGACAGATCCATGGAGTTCACTGTCCAATCAGCACAGCTGAGGTGATGATCCATGAGAGACCTACCTCCAAGAAGATGGAAAAGCAGACATAGTGCTGCCCAGCTATAATCCCAACACTCCAGGAGGTGCTGGAGGCAGGAGGATCAGGAATTCAAGTTCATCGCTGGCTACATAGTTACTTCCCAGCTAGCCTGAGATTCATGAGACCCTATCTTTTAAAAACAATTAAATTAAATTTCAAAGGTAAAGCTCTTTATTAAAGAAGACACTGAGCATTTACCTCTAAACTCCATAGGTACATGCAAACACATAAACACACCCACCTACGCATTCATACACCCACAGGAACATACACATATTCCATACACAAAGACATATATAAAATGATTAATTTCAAAATGTAAAAATAGGGCTGGCGAGATGGCTCAGTGGTTAAGAGCACTGTCTATACTTCTAGAGGTCTTGAATTCAATTCCCAGCAACCACATGGTGGCTCACAACCATCTGTAATGGGATCCAATGCCCTCTTCTGTTGTGTCAGAAGATAGCAACGGTTTGCCCATATAAATAAAATAAATAAATCTTTTAAAAACATAAAAATAAATAAAGCTAAATGTCTCTTGTGTCTGTGCATCTATGACAGAGAAAGTCATGGATATTTCGTGAGTATCTAGATATACCGTGTCTGTGGGTTTTTTAATGTAAATATTACAGGATTCACACCAGCCCCTTCTTAGATACTCCAAGGAAGCAGTCTGTATTGTAGCCACTTCCTCCAGGCTGGACATGACTGTCACCATCTAGAACCAAATAGCTGTGAGGACCCAGGTCAGGACATCACAGCATTGGGCCCATTGACTAGTAATGCTTCTATAGAGGGAAGAAGGAGGGTGATGAGTCTTACACAAGGCCTTCATAAGAGGCTCTTAGACCCTCTCCTCCCCAAGAGTCCAATCCCCAATACATAAGAGGTGAATAGCAGTCTGTAGTGGGACCCCTCATGGTGTATCTGCCCATAAGTCACACAGGGGACTTCCTAGTGGTATATCTCCCTGTTAGTCACCCACACTCCAGTGAGTAACCTCAACAGACTCATCAGTTCACTGAGCTGAACTGGAATGGAATCTTTTGCTCTGTTGGGGCCCTCTGTGTCTGGGCTGAATAACTATCTCTTTATACATCTTTGAAAACCTCACATGACAGGGCCCAAGAGCAAATATAGGTCAGTCTGTGCACGAATATAATCAACTCTAATTTGGGTGAGAGGCACTAAGACAAGATTCAATTTTTCCTTTTGTATTAATTTTTGTTAGTATACAAGGTAATAGATGGGTTCCACCATGACATCATCATATACAGTGCTTATTCGTCCCACACTACCTCTTCTTTGTGGGACTGTGTAAGGGTATTCTGGTTCATGGCTGGGCATGGGCCTAGAACCCTGAGACTCTACGTGAGAACTGGCAGGCGTTCGGCCACACCCCCAGAACCCAGAGTCCTGACATGCAGTCTCATCTCCATAGACCTACATTGTTCAGTCACATAGGCCATTACAGCCCCTCCTAAAGTGCACAGGTAGAGGGTGTGACTAGAGGCCTCAGGCCCTAGGGATTTACATACTAATGAAGGCCAGAGAGTGGAGCAAATTAAGCATACCTCCCCAGATCCTCCCCCTTTCTTCCTCCCTATTTAACTTGGGACTGCCCTGAGTTTCACGGGGCATACTTCCAGATCCATCCACCATCCTCCATGACAATAAACCCTTTTGGAACCAAACACTTCCTCGTGTCATTGGGGCCTGCTGTCACCAAAGCCCCCGGCCGCTGGAACCTTAGACCTCCTCTCGTATGTGGGACCCTCCACCACATGGAAACCCCCCCCCCACATCCTCCACCGCTGAGGCTTTATATTTTCCCACATTTCTTGACTCTCTTCTCCTACCTGCTGGTTCCCTTCTTGTCTCTAAACT